TAAGTATTGTTTCTCAGAAGGCATCATAGCTAATGTACTGGGCAACCAATTATCAAGCAACTTTCACCCTGGTTTCATAAGAGATTAATTTTAATTTAATATTATTTCATTTTATTATGCTAAATTATTAAAAATAATTTTAAATTAAAATATAAATTTAAATTAATTTTAAAAAGTATAAATTAATGTAGTAGCTATAAAGGATCAAGACAAACTCAAGGCTTATAAGCAGAATAATAAAAAAGATAATAGGAGGAAAAGCATGAAAATTATTTTACAAACAGGATAGCTACAAAGCTTCAAACATATTACTTGAGAGTCTTCTTTCTTGTCCTATTGCTAAAAAAAAAAGACTATTTCAAACTTGCCAATACAAATATGCTACTTCATATATGGAATTATTTATGTGAATAGCACTGTGTATTCAGTGTTATGGTACTGTTGTCTTCTTAAAAGTTTAAAACGTAGGTAGGTAGGTTGGTAGGTAGGTAGGTAGATAGATAGACTTTATATTAAAATTATATATAGTATTTTTACATTAAGAATATTTACATAAATTAATAAATATAAAAAATATGAAAAAGGTTATTATGACTGTCATTATTCTGTTGTTTTGCATATATCTGAGAACTTCTGCACTGGAGATAAATTCCTTGTACAAAATGGGACAACATGGCGCTGCCAGCTCATCACTGCCAAGTTGCCTTTGCCAACTCACCACTGCCAAGTCACTGCAGGACAACTCCACACAGCCAACTTGCCATGAAGATAACTCACTGTAGGTGGCTCACGGGAGAGCCAGGTGGGCAAGCAAGCCGGTGGACAGAACGCAGAGTGGTAGTGGTGGCCAGGGGCCTCCCATTTTCACACCCCAAGCTACTGCCACCACCTCTGGACTGGAGGCTGGGGATGGTGGCGGTGGGGCTGTCCTGGAGCTTGGCACAAGAGTGATGGCAATGGTGGGTGGTGTGATAATGGGAAGCTCCCAGCTGCTGCCACCGCTCTGCTCTTTGCAAACCCTCATGTTCACGCACCCAGCTCTTTCTCCAGCCACCCACAGTGAGTTATCCCCGTGATGAGTTGGCCATAAGGAGTTGTCCTGCAGCTTCTTGGTGATGGTGAGTTGGCAGAGGCACGCTGGCAGCAGTGAGCTGGCTGTGCCGAGTTGCCCTAGACCCTCCTTGTGTGTCTAATCACACTTGGCCAAATAAAGTATTCAATTCATCAAATCTATAAATCATTATTTCCTTTTTTTTTTCATGTTCAGCAGAAATGCCATAATACCTTATCAGTCTTATTGTACTTAAAATACTTATTATTTTGTTCCTGACCAAGCAGGTCAGTTTTATAATTTCTGCCAATTCTAATACCTTCACAATCCATTCCTTTATTGTGAAAGTTTCTTCCATTTCTGTGCACATCTGTAATAATTATACTGTAGTTCCCAGTCATCCAAATCTCCTTCTTGTTCTTCTGTGAAACATAAGATTGAATTTTAATCCAGCTCTGGCAATATACTGTAGAAAGGTATCACAACAGTGTTATTGGGCTTATGCTAATATGCATGCCAAAAGGTTGTCTGCAGCCTGTTTCACTACTCTTGATAGTTCTTATCACTAGTGTTAATAGTTTACTTGCTCTGAGTGATCAATGACAAAAGAGAGGAATTACAGCAGTCACCATTTTTTTCCAGTCTTTTCCTTCTGTTCAGATTCAAATATAAATGGCTAAAGTAGGCAGGCAATGATGAAAAGGAATACTTGGAACAAACATCAGAAGCTAGTATATTAATTGCTTCATATAAATGTTTCAAAATATTACTAGTAGCCAGCATTGCAGGGATTTTTTTTTTTTTACCAATCATGGACAATTTTATTACCTATTTTTCCAATATGAAAGGCATTGAACAATATTACTATGCAACATTTAAAAACTAGTTATAGAATAAGTTACATTAGACTCAATTCACAAAAAAGTGTGGAACATGCGCAGGAAATAATAGAAAAAAAATAGAATCCTAATATTTCAGAAGGAAAAGTTTGATGTTAAACTTGAAATCTCTGTGTCCTTAAATATTCATAACTTTTCATTTTATTTGTGTCCTGAATACTTTTTTAAAAATAATATTTTATTAATTTTCTAATTTTACATTTAGGTATTTAAAAAGTAACGTGGTGGCTGGGTTAATCAATAGTTCAATAACATACAAAAATCTTTAATACAAATCTCAAGTTACAACATCAAATATTTCCTCTCTTTTTCCCTTAATATCTACTGTCTCGTATTTAAGCTAATACAGTTCTTGTTATATCCACTAAGTAAAAATACCATTATTACATTTATCAATAAATTTTTAGCATATTTATATCTTAATTACTTTTACATTCAATCTTTACAGACAATCATGTCCTGTTCTTGATTTTTCACTAATTTTTAGTTTCCCACCAATATTCAAATTTAATATTTGATATTTATAATTTCTAGGCTTTAGGTAACCAAAGTTTCCCTTATCTCAATTCATAACAGAATCTAATATTCAAAATACACATCTATTTGAGTATAGTCTTGTTCTATTTTTAAAAAATTATCTATTTCCCACCATATTAAATCATCTAATTAATAATACAGTATCCCCTTTAATAAATCAAAACCATTATATATATTGTCTGAGTTAATCAATAAATCAAACATATTCATTTTTTTTCTTTTGGATCTAATTTTTAAATATTAAACAAATAAAATCCTTATTTTCAACTAATTTTGTAATATTTTAAATTTAATGACCAAAATTCCCCTTATCTCAACTTCTCCCTTTACCCCTCTAATTAGTAATATAAAATCCCCTCTAATAAATCAAAACTCCAATTTTCTTCAGTCTTATTCTGGCTTTCTTCCTTTGCCAACTAGTCTTCCATGTCAGTGGAATCATCAAATAGATCTCCCTCTATTATTATATATATTAATTGAAATAAGAGAGACCATTTAGTTGCCATTTTTTTGGAAGGGCTAACTAGCCTGTTAGATCATCTCCCTATTATTCCATTCCCCATGATTGTCTTGATATGTTTATCTTCCATTCAGTCTGTTCTTCTTTCTCCTCAAATTTCTTCTGCTTTATATAGAAAGTCTTTTCCATTTTCAGTGTTGTCACTCCCTTTTCTGGATTTTCCATTAACTGTATTTGTTGGTCAATTGAGTCCTCCGTCTTAATATTTGATTGTTCCACTTCTGTTATCTTCTGCATTGTTAGTTCTTTGGTTGTAATCAAAATTTGGGTTTGTATATCTAAGCTGGCATTTTGTTCTTTTATGTTGCATTTTATTTTGTCACAGGCTGAAATAATGGTTCCATGTATTGCTTTCAACGTGGAAAGGATCTTTTCCTGGTCTTCATCCATATTCTCTTAATAATGTGTTAAGTTGAGGACTTTAAAATCAGACGTTAAAATAATTTTATAACTAGGTATGGGACCTCTATTTCACATGTTTATAGGTAGTCTTTATAGTAGAAGTCGTTTGTCAAGTAAGATTTTATAGTCCAAGGTATTTCATCATCTCCTATAATAACCAATGTTCCTCAGATAAAAAAATAGGAAAGCAATTCCCCACATATAGCTCTGAAAGTCAGTAAAGATTTACATTCATAGTTCAAGCAGGCCAGTTATGCTGCCCAAAAGTTCTCTTTACAGTTGAGTTTCTCACAGATGGTATCTGTCAAGGTCGAAAGAGTTTTGTCTGAAGTCTGGGCTTCAAGCCAAGTCTCTTTTAGGCAATAACAAGTTGTAATACCAAACTTCGCCACAAGATGTCACCAATGCTGTTTAAAGTTTTTTAAGTCCAAAACTTTTATAATCCTTTTTCCAGTTTTATTTCTTTTTTTTAGATTAAAAACAAAAGTCTCCAGTAAAAATAAGAAAACTTTTGGTCCCCAAGTTTCAGAAACATATGAATCCAATTAGATTAAAATTGTTATTTTAGTGCTTTAACTCCCCTGGGTAGTCAGTTGCTGCTATTCTCAGAGTGGGGTAGAAATTCCCTTCCTTCTCTCCTCACAGGGGGAAAAGATACTTTGGGCAGCTTTTACAGGAAAAGAAAATACTTAGAATTTAAAGAGAAGATCGGATCTCACCCAGTTTCATCCGCGTTGCTTTAGAAGTGCTTGCTGATAAATTTGACTTTGGCTGTCTGCAACTTAGTGACAAGCCATATTGCTATGGCTGGTCTTTTCTTTGCTGGTTTGGAGGGCTGCCCTGATCGAGCGGAAGGGCTGCCGCCCTCCTGCGATCAAGTGAGGGTCCCCACCTTGCTCGTAGTCCCTACAGGGTGACTTTCGACCCTTTCCAGGGTCCCCCAGAGGAACGAAACCAAACGTGGAAGACAGAGCTCGCCTTCCAGTGTCTGTGGTGGCTGCGATGGCAAACCGGAAGTCATGTCCTGAATATTTTTAAAGCGTTTTTGTATGGGGATGCATGAAATGTATTTCAAGTACTTTGCAGCCTACTTTAAAAGAAATAAAAATGCACATATATTATAGAGAAATATTTGTGGTGTTATTTGCCAATATCGTCATAGAGCATTCTCTTTTGCAGCTAGTAAACTGGGATGAGGATGTGGGAGAAGTATATACGTTTTGAATCCAGAATGTATTAAGGAAAATTTAAGATTCAGAAAATATTTTTGTCTTTTGTACCACCCTATTCTTCTTCCCTCATATAAATTCAGAGATGGTATCATTTCTTCTTATCTGAAAAAGCATCAAATCTTTTTAATAAAAATGAGATAGGATAGGCAGAATCCTGATTTTAGCAAAAATATTGGAGCATATAAATTTGTTTTTTTAATCAGACATTATTCCTCTGATTAAATTGGTTATCTCTAAGTTCTCTTACTAAGAAAAAAAATAGCCTTCAGTAACTTTATTATATTTTAAATATCTGTGGACATATTGGTATTTTTTTATTAAATTACATTCATTTTGGGTTTTATTTTTTCTTTCTTTAGGAATGATTTGCTGATGGTGTGTCGCCAACTGAACATGGAAGAATCTGTGATTGAGATCATGCATCAGCTTGGTGCGGATGAACATGGAAAAATTTCCTTTCAAGATTTCACACGATGTCGTATGCAACTTGTAGGAGAAATCAGGAAGGAAGAAGTGGAGCTTTCTGTGAAATTGGATGACTCGTGTAAAAAGAAAACTTTAAGGGATAGAATAGCTTCATGGCCAACCAGCAGCAATAACAGTTTAGGTCAGTATGGTTTAATTATACCTATTACCTTAAAATCCAATACAACTAGGAAGTAAGTTGTAAGTACAATATTTATGTATTTAATTTCTTTTAAAAGATTGATAGATATCAAATATTTTGAAATCTGGTTCTATACAGTATGAAATAGCTACCACGATACTTGTAATATTAGCTATATTATTGCAAGCTGTGCTGATTGCTTTTAAATTATACCTCAGTTCAAACTAACTCAGGGTTGTAAATTACAATAAATATGTTTAAAACCTAAATTATTAAAACTAAAAACTCTGAAAAGAAAATACTATTTTGCATGTTCCTAAGAATCTGTCTTCTGCAGGCATATTATATTAGAAATCACTAGGCATAACTGGAGTTTTGAAAGCATGTTATAAGCACTCTCCTAAAGTAACTCCGATAGAGATCATCACAATCTTAAATCATTCCTTGGCCAGAAGGTATATTGAAGTTCCACCCTACAACTATTTCTGGTCTTCCAGTATGATCCTGTCTCCTGTTCAAGACAGCAGTTCTGTACAAAAGTGCAATCCTATGCAAAGCTATTCAAACTTTCTTCTGTATTTAATGATGTTTGTTCACTTTTGTGTGCAGTACTTTGGAGCATTTATAAACATGTCATTTAAGATCATAATTATCAATTTGAAAATATTTAGCAAATATCTTGTGTGATAGATGGGCTAGATACTTTTCCAAAGTAGTGAGCTGCAACTTTTCAGGGTTTTTTAAAGAAAACATCTGAGTATAGGCATGGCCTAGAAGTGGCCTTCCAAATAGATATTATACTTGAAGCCTGTCCTTTAATTTGTAAAATACTATTTTTTATTTATATAATATGAGGGGGGTCTTTTAGATAGACATCACGAGTAAGGATAATATCTTTATCTTTCCTGTGTGGCTGCTGTTACAAAAAAAAGCTCTTATTTCTTGTCACTTAATACCTACCTTTAAACCTATATCTACACTATACAATTCCTATACTGATCTCTATGGCTGCTGTATGTGCTATCTAAGAATCCTTAGAATACTAAGAATACTAAAACAGTTCTTTTTTCTTCTTGTTGCAAAGTTTTTAGCTGCTATTTAGCCATCTTCTTGCCAGTGGTGCTGAAACATTGGCTTTGCATAGTCTTTGGGGGAGGCAAAAAAGAGAGGTGTCTTTAATAGCAACTGGCTGGTGTAGACTGTCACCATCTGTGCTGGAACAGAGATACTGCCCGCCTCCCTTTTCTCTTTCAAGAATTCTGATATTGGTTTGCTGGAGTCTATCCCCAATTCTCCTTCACAGGTGCCTATTATGCTACATTTTATCCTGGCAACTGCTCCACATTTCTGCCTACAATTTCTCCTAATACTTCTGGTCTCCTACACAGTAAGAATCTCCTTCCAATGCACACCCATACTCATGTGCTGAGAGTGTTTTCCTTTGTGATGGAAGATCAGGTGTGCTTTAATGCTTTCCTAGTGGGGAAAGTCAACAAAGGAAAGGAAGAGGTTGCATTGATTGCTTAAAGCAGGGGTGTCAAACTGCCAGCCCATGGGCCGGACGCATCATCCCAAAACCGCGCCCACCCCATTGCTGGCAATGGGAAAAAAGCTCCAATACGTCACACGATGTCATGTGATGTCGTGAGTTTGACATGCCTGGCTTATAGGGTCTCCTTCCAAAGTGGCTTCAAGAAGTTTGTAGTAGAAGTATTAGTTCTAAAAGATACGATGTTGCTGACTCTGAAATTAGATTTTTTTCCTAGTCTGTTATCTTCTATTTGATAACTTGAGGCCATTTCATTTCTACTTTGTATGAAAATCATACTTTTTACCTTCCTACATAGCCTGTGTGTATTCTTTTATATAACGTAGCCTGTTATATTCTTTTAAACTATTGATATAAGTTGAAAGCACTTTGCAACCCGTAGCTTGTTAATAACATATAGATTGCAAAAATTGTGCATTTGTAAAAAATGTGAAGTGGCTATCAGTATTGCATTTTTAGTATATATAAATATGTTATGTTATGCTGTGAATTTTCAAAAGTTGCTGAAATAGAACTTCCAAACCTTTGTAGCTACCATGGTTAGTGTGAAAAATGCTGGGAGATTTGAACTGAAGAACATCTATAGGACTGCATGTTTCTTGCCTAGGTTATATCTCAAAACAGTAGAGCAGGGAGGAGAAAAGTATATTCCCTACGTAATATCATGTAGTTCCATTTCCCTTACCAGTGTTTCTCAACCTTGACAATTTTAAGGCATGTGGACTTTAACTTCCAGAATTCCACAGCCAGCATTGCTGGCTGTGGAATTCTGGGAGTTGAAGTCCACATGTCTTAAAATTGTCAAGGTTGAGAAACACTGCTAGTCCTATATAAAAGCTAGCCATCATGTTTTCTAATGAATTTCTCATTTCTTATTTAAAAAATCCATCACATAAATGAAATGTCTGTTTAAGTTCTATTAAAAACATCACGGTTTTGACATTGCTCATTTAATGTATGAAGAATTGGCAGGACAACTTGGGGAATTTATATTATACATTATGGTAAATTATATTTTTTTCCATTTTATATCTATCCTTTTAAGACCAGTTAATAAAATAACCAATTGCTTTATAAAAATAGCTGAATGCTTGAGGCATTAACATACACCATGAAAATACACCAAGCAGTTTTTGCCTAGTTTCTATTTTTATTAATGAGATTTCCATGCTGCCCCGTGTCAGTTTGATTGAGCAGTGTACTTGGGGGGGGGGGGGAACACATTAAAAAAAGAAGACAGGTAAAGCAAAGCAAAGCAGAGATAACCAGTCATAATAATAAGTTTTGCATATGTAAGCACAGCTATTGTTTGTATTATGTATTTGTTCTTTTCTGCTTCCAAAGGTTCTGTTGGCTGTCCTTTGTGTTATCCTATATGGCATACTGTTATCCATGGATGGATGGATGGATGGATGGATGGATGGATGGATGGATGGATGGATAGAGTATAAATAAAAGTGGAGGATTCCTGTATGCATCAGATCTTACTGGGGACATGTCACATTTCATAAGTGATAAATTAATATTTTCTTCTGGTTTTTCTTTCTTACTAAAAAAAGTTTAATCAGAGGTTGGTAAAAAGAGATTGGAGAAGTGGAGAAGATTGGGAATCCAAAGCTTTTTCATCCTTTTCCCTTTGGGGCATTTTGGGATATGTGCTTTTCACCATCAGTCAGTTCCAGCTGTGTAATCTGGCAGAGAGAAGAAAAAGGATTGATTATTTACTTATATATTTTTAGTCTGGCTTTTACATTAACCGGGACTAAAACTCACAGTCTTCAGGTTTCTAGCCTGGTACCTTAACTACTAGACCAAACTAGACCAAAATGATCGATGTAGCCATCAAGTCATAAAAGGGCCAAGTTTGAAGACCCCTGATGTAGCTAATACTCCTCAATCAGTGTAAAAAAAGAAGGAAAGAAAGAGAGGAAGGAAGGAAGGAAGGAAGGAAGGAAGGAAGGAAGGAAGGAAGGAAGGAAGGAAGGAAGGAAGGAAGGAAGACCTGCTTCCCCCTTTCTTACATTTTTCAGAAAAGATCCCAAAACATTTTGATTTTGTAGGTGTATTCGGAATGTATTTCAGAACTGCTGCAATGTGATACCTAACCATTTCTATAATGGCTACAATGGCAAAAATGACTAATAAGTAAAAATCAGTTAATTAGAAGCCATCCTGGTGCTCCCTAATGCTACCAACTTCCAACTTACTCTAGGCTTTTTTTCCAGGATAATGGACACTTTCTATCTTTCTGGAAAGTACTGAACTGTAGGTAACAATCTATCTCATCTTTTATCATTATATAATCTATTTGCACCAAATAATTTACTTTCTTCAGTATTTTTACAACAGATGAAATGAAAGAGCTAAACAATTTACTGGTAAAATATATTTTTTAATTTTCCTTAACTTCATAATATTTATGAAAATATTTTTCATAATTTGAAAAAAATTATTTTCTTATCAAACTTGGCAGAAATCGTACTTATCTCAAGAGTATAGCTAAAGTAAATTCAAGATGATACTTGAATTTACTCATATACCTCCATTACCATATTCCGAATGAATCTAAGACAGTTTTCCTATTTCATGCAGTAGTTAAGTTATTGGGAAAACCTACATTTTATTTCTTTCAACAATTGCATTGTTCAATCTTCAGTAAAACAATGTGGGTTCAATGAAACTATAAAGACAGCGTTGCTAATACTTTCTTGTAGAATCTAGGATAGTGGTCATAGTTTTACTTTTGTATTGTGTTGGTTTCTTTTTCAGCAGTTTGATACTTTTCAATGACTACATTTTGAGTAAATTGTATTTTATTGATGCATCAGTGCAGCTGTAGTTGAAAGTAATTAACATTATATGGAGCGAAATAACCATTATGCATAGAATTCAATAAAGATTTTGGCCTTTAACTCCTGTCTCAGCTCAATGTGCTGCAGCTGTTCTTTAATTGTTCAGATGCTGATGTAATTAAATGGGTATTATGGTAGTTATGAGTAGAGAAGATGCAGCATGAAACTTTCCAACAACATGCTTGTGTTCCATCTATGTTATATTAAAATATCCAGTAATTGGTTTCTGGGTCCTATATTTTAATTTTGAGTAATGAGATTTTAGCAATATACTGTATATGTTACATACTGTAAATGCTTGTCAACTGAGAGTTGCTTGAAAATTAAAATAGTATAATAAAGCAAATCACAGCTAAACAGTTGGAAAAGAATATCTGCTTGAAATCTGACTTACATAACTAAAAGGGTTGGATGAATAAAAGTATGATCACCTGGCATAAACAACAACAAAAAGAACCAAAGTGAACATCAATTAGAAACATGAGATGAAGTGGTATAATGAAGAGACTCTGTATGTCTAATTACAATTTAACCCTTCAAAAGACATGGAATATGTGGAGCTACATACAAAGCATCTCCTCTCTAATAGTTAAAGCACCATCTCTTTTTCCAAACTCACAAAACGGCTTTGGGAGCTATTTCTACTGCAGAGACAGTTAGGATAACTTCCAAAGCAGCTGTGCAAGCCTGGAAAACAACATAGTTGTTTTTATCATTCCAAAATAGACATTTTTTGTGCACTTCCATGAATTCATGTGAAACATTTGAATAGGCCTGTTTATTATTTTCAGAAGATGAAATAACTCAGGGGAAGGCATCAGAACCAGAAGAAATTTAATGTGAAAGAAAGGAACATTCCCAATAACTGCGATTTCTGAACAGCCTTCAAAGGCAAACGTGTAAATAATCTGAGATGTTATGAATACAAGGATAACTATAGCCAGGGTATCTCAATGGAGCTCATTAGCTTATGCTGCTAAAATTATATGGAAAATATTGGTCACAAAGCTGTGGGTTAGAGCAGCCAGAAAACAAATTAAATGCATAGTATTTCTATTGATTACTTAATGGCAATGACAAGTAATCTTTCTCAAAATATGGAAACTGGAATGTTTTTCTGCTCAGCTGTCTCTAAAAACATATTACCAAAGCTTTGTAGCTATTATTACGGAAAATTGTAAACCTTGCTCTTCCAGATGTTTCTGACCTATAATTCTCACTATCCATTGCTATGCTGACCAGTCTGCTGAAAATGATCTTGATTCTGTTTAAGAAATGTTAGAGTACAACATTTCAATATTCATGCATTGATTTATTTTTCACTAATTTTTAAGATAGTGAATGATGTATGTGTAATATGTAACTGGAATTGGTTATATAATACAGGGGTTCCCAACCCCAGGTCTGTGGACCGGTACCGGGTCACGGCATGCCAGCAACCGGTCCGCACAAACAAGGGAAGCAGGATGCAGGCAGCACACAAAACCATGTCCCCTCCGGTCCATGGAAAAACCTCTCTCCGTGTAACCGGTTCCTGGTACCCTAAAGGTTGAGGAACTCTGCTTAAAAGCATAACTATGTTTTTTTCTTTTAAAAGTCCTTACAGTTCTTTTTTAGTGAGTAAATTTTTTCATATGAGGGGGAGTTGTTATAATACAGGTGTTCTGGTGGGGAAGAATTACCTGTCCTTTGGTTGTGCTATGCCATTTGTTAAAATTGTGTCAAAATGGGGTTTACATTGATCAATGTAAAAGGGGGCCTGAATGGACTGTGTTTTTGAGAAAGTCTAATGATTCTCTGGTAGATTGATATTATTTCAAGGGAATAATCATTTGTTCATATAGACTGTCTCAAAAAACTAGCCAAGGAGGCAACAAAAATTGAGACCAGTCTGTTTCTTCAGATAGGAATAATATATTTGTCAGTAAAGGCTAAATCATAAATAATAATTGACTTGAACCAGTTGAGTCAAAAACAGAAGAGCCTACTCTTGATAGGTGATCACTGTCTCAATGAAAGGACACACTAAAATCTTTGCAATGGAGGGCAAAAGTGCTGTAACTAACATGCAATCTACAGTTGATACTCCACTAGAGACCCAAATGTGAGTTCACCCTTGGGATACTCTGCCATTGATCCATAAAGAATGTTTAAATCAAATTTTGTTCCCAGGAAGAAAAGTTTCCATTCCTTATGTTAATGCTGGAATCATTCAATTTCTGGAGAGTCTCTTCAGCTGAGGATAATAAAGTTTAATAGTTCTTCTTCACCATATTTCAGCATTCTTACTCAATAAGGACCATGCCAAAATAAAAGGAGCTTCCATGCAGATTCCTGATATGGATATAGGCTAAATATAAATATAGGCAGATATCCCAGGGGAGATATGAAAACTTTAAGAGGAGAGAGGGAGGGAGGGAGGGAGGGAGGGAAGGAAGGAAGGAAGGAAGGAGAATTTGGGCCACATTCAAAGCAAAATGTCTGATCTAATGAATAACACTGAATTATTTTGTTGCAGAAAGATTATAGGTTCAGAGGGTGTGAGGTAGAAGATATATACAATGAGTAGTGTCATTTGGAGAAAGTACTGGAAATCATTGACTGTTTTCCATATTGTGCTAGGCCACATTGTCTTATATCCATGATTTCTTCATGTTATATACAAATTCCTTACACTTTATGTCAACAAACATGATGGTTAATATATAAACTCATACTGGTTTAGTCAATAAACCATAGTTAAAATGAATCACAGCTTTGGATAGGTTTAATTATTGATGAAACTCAGAGATACTCTATTATGGGTTGCTAAATAATAGTTCTCTCCTCTATCCCAGTCAATATTTTCATAAAGCTGCTGAGAGAGGTCATCCATTGGTTTAAGTGAAGTATCAGCAATATGCTGATGATATCTATTGTATATCTTTATACCAGGCCAAATGTGGAATGTGGTAGATGTCCTCCTTATTGCTTGGAAAAAGTCAGAATCTTAGTGCCTGGATGGGGTGAAGTAGATTCAACCCAAGAGAAATAGAATGGATGTTAATTTGACAGCTGAATTATATATTTCTTTTCTAGTGATTGTGTTCCCACAAGAAGAGTAGATTCTCAGTCTGGCGGTCCTCCTGGACTTCTGTGCTCTTCAAGAGTTCTGCAAGACTGTGTTTAGGAGGGCCTTTATTCAACTTCAACTGGTATAGCAGTTTAGCCTTAACTGGGATGAGATACAATGAGGACAGTCATGAAACTTAATTTTAAGACTTAAACTGTCATTGTTACAACTCACTTGTCCAATCACACTTGGTCAATAAAGAATTATATTCTGTTCTATTCTTCATCAAATAAAGGGTGTAGATAAGCCATTATAATATCTAATTTGAATTATTGTAATTTGCCCAAGATAGGGCTTCCTTTGAAGGCTACCAGGAAATTTCAGTTGATCTAAAACAGGGGTCTTCAAACTTGACTTGTGGACTTCAGCTCCCAGAATTCTTCAGCCAGGCATGCTAGCTGAGGAATTCTGGGAGTTGAAGTCCACAAGTCATAAAAGGGCCAAGTTTGAAGACCCCTGATCTAAAATGTAGTGGCCTATATTTTTTTTGGTCAGTCTTAACACTGCCATGTCTTACCTTTGATGCAGGAGCTGCTTTGGATGCCAGTATACTTCTGAGTTCACTTTAAGATGTTGGTCACATCCTTTAAAGCTGTCAATGACTCTGGGATGGTTATCTAGAGGACACTTTTCCTTCATCTAATCTACCTAACTAGCCTAAATAGCTCAGGTACATCTATTGGGAGATGTAACGGGAAGGAGCCTGAAGTCATGAATTCTCCATAGGAACTTCCCTCTGATGTAACAGCTTACTTTTCAAGGCAAGGATGGTTCCATATTGTTTTCATTTCTATTATATATATCGTACTTTTGGGATTTTGAGAGAATATGTCATTAGTACTGCTATTACAAAGAAGAAAAAATTGTCCTTCCCATTTAGAGGGAAAGTACTCATCCAATTCTCACATCATCCCTTAAACAAATATAGCAGCACAACCATAACTAATATACATATGCAAACAAAAGTACCTGTTTTAAAAGTACTCTCAGACCACATGTTATGCAGGCTTAGAGACACATAAATATATGCACAACACAGTTCTATATTACTTTCTGTGTCTCAGAAACTTTCTATTAGCTGCTTAAAATTTTATTCCTAAGGACAGCTGGGTATTAGCCACTTGCATTTAGAAATCAGAGAGGGGAGAAGGTATTCTTCATTCAGATCAATGTCTAGTTCAGGGGTGGGGACCCTTGGCTCTTTTATGACTTGTGGACTTCAACTCTCAGAATTCCTGAGCCAGCCATGCTGGTTCAGGAATTCTGGGAGTTGAAGTCCACAAATCATAAAAGAGCCAAGGTTCCCCATCCCTGGTCTAGTTGCTCTATGCTTGTAGAGACAAAGGGGAGTCAGTACAAAAAGACTATAAAAAATCAGAAGATATTTGTATGGAATTATTGCATCACTTCTTATAAATAAATATCTTTTTCTATCTATCCAGGTGCCCTTTCTGGAGCTAGAGAGAGTTGGGAATACGACTCTGGAGCTAGAGATCTTCAAAGCCCTGATTTGCACAGTTGTTCAACTTTACAAAAGGCATTTGAATATGGTGGGAATACTATGAATCAACAAGTTGCCCTTCAAAGATTGCTTACACAGGCCACCAATCTAAGCAATTCAGTCGGAGGAAGTTATCTAGAACTTGCCAACACTGTAAGTACCACTGTTTCAGATACAATTCTTTAAATCTGTTATATTCCTCCCACTCTCAACTTAGATAGTATTTTGCATCAATTCATAGAGGTTATCAAGCAACTGCTTTATAAACATATCATATGTGATTGCAAGAAGAGTTTTCTGTATCTATTCCCTCCCGTCTGATAGCTCCAAAGTAATAACCCTATGCTTTTATCAGAGAGACCATCCCCGTTTTGGTTTGTTTGGTTTTGTAAATTTGCATCTAAGCATTGGTTTTGTTACACATTATTACTATTACTTAAGAAAGACTCTCAAGCATATAATTTTAATTTTATTTAATCTTAATTTTATTTTTATAACTACATCATTGGTGCAATGTCGTGCTTGAAAAAAAAATTAAACTAGTCAGCTTGCAACAGAAGTCTATGTAATACAGAAATTAATCCATTCCATTATTTAATATTTCATTTTACTTTGCTTTAAATATCAGTGTTTATTTACTTTCTCTGCAAGTTCTTGATGTCTAAATATAATAAACCTCTCAGCAGAGAACTAGATTTAGGCAAAAATCTTTTTTTTTGTCCTGAACTGATCAGATTGCTTAGAAGTGTTTCAACAATGACAACAGTAAAAAAGACAGAATGGATGTGTCTTCTTTGTCAGGGAAATAATATTAATTGTGAAAAGTGGAAAGATGTAAATAGAGAGCTGTCCTAAAGATGATTTTTAATAACAAAACATCCATTAAAAACCAACTGAGTAATTAGATTACAACCAGTTTATACAAGAGAGGTCAAAGAAATGTTAATACCATAACCTCAGGTAAGGCAGAATTCTCAATCTTAGCAGTTTTAAGATGTCTGAACGCCAACTCCCAGAATCCCCAAGCTAGCATTAGGAAAAGTAAGATGATTTTATGAGCTGAGTGTTATTATTATTTTTATTATCAATGGAAATACTCATAGGAATCTAATATAATCATAGGTGACCATATAAATTAGAATGGTAGTTCATTAAAGTTCATTAAGTCATTAAAGCAACTAAGTCTGGAAAGATACATTAGGTTGTTGCATTCATCCATTTTAATTATTCAGACCTTTCTTTTTTTTGTCCATCGAGTCACTTACTTAGTCACTCATTTACTCTTCCATGGACAAGACATTTCTTGCATCCAATCCTTCATTCCAGTTCTCTTTTAGGGACTCAAGGCAGTTGTGTCATCACTGTATGTGCATGATATATACTTCTCTAGGGAGGATGAATAGGTTTTGTTAGTCAGGGGCTGTGCTTACCATTTTGTAGGGCCACAGTGGATAGAACAATGGCACAGCATAAGTTAAGTTTAAAAATATTCATTTTCACTTTGTCCAGATGAACTTTGTTAAACCCATTTCTACACTTAACTTGCAGCTTGTGTATATTTTCTCTATCAAAATTCTGAAAAACTGAGGTGCCAGTTTTCAGCCAGTGCTGATAGAGATCTAGGGGCCATAGAAGAGGGTTGGGAGTCTGCATGTGGTCTTGGTACCTCTCTATCTAAGGAAGAGCTTTCCTGAATACGGGTAAGCCTTTGCTTACCAATGGTAATTAGAGCTGGGAACTCTGTAATAAGGCGTGACTGTGCCAACTTAACAATGGTAGTTTCAGTAGTCCCAATGTTCTTTGTAGGGATCATTGGGATTGTTGCTGTAGTACCAACATCCCTGCTGCATAGCAACCTTCCCGACTCCATTTCTGGGCTGACAGTGGTGTTCCCCAGATTTATGGTTCTGGGGAACTTCAACCTCCCTTTCTTAGGAGTTGGAGTGGCTTGGGTTCATGGCCAACATGACAGCCCTGGGCTTATCTCAGGTCATCCTAAGCCTGACATGGTCACATTTTGCATCTGATATTCCTATTGGAGCATTGGCTATGTGATCTGAAATTGGGGGAGCTTTTGGTTTGTCTCTTGTTGTGGTGATATACAGCACAATTGTCTGCACGAAGGAAGCCTGTATAACAACAGAAAATTGGTTTCAACTTGTGTCAGGATGGCTACATGTTTTCTTTTTCCAGAAAACTCTGCTGCGTGTGTGATTATTATAAGGAGGTTGATATATAAAATTTGACAATTGATGTATACTGAACACGAGTCTCACTTTATTGCATAATTGCATAATAACCGTTCAACTCTTTCAAGTATTATGAAAATAAATGGAAGAAATATATGAAAGGTTCCTTTGCATAATAATGAGGCAGAATAGCACTATAACAAACTTCTTGCCATTTTTGAGAATTATACTGCAAGACTGTACTATAAAATGAATCACTGTCATGCTCCTTTGAATTGCTTCAGTTGAATCTCATTTGTTTCATGTTTTTCAGTATCTTTTCTGTTCAAATGCTAATTGTTGTCTCCATTAAGTGTATTTTTCTAAGTGACTGGCAGAGGGCATACTGTACATAGGCTGTATCATCTAAACTTCTTGCTTTATTGCTTTTTTGCTGTATAAAAAGCCATTGCTAATATTATCTTTCACTGCAAGCAAAGCCAGGTTATTATGTTAAACATGTAAAATATTAAGACCATTCAGATCTTAAAATTTAAAAGATTTTAAATATATATATTTATATTTAAAGATGGTCTTAATTACATTGTAAACATATTTAAGTTTTATTTCTATCAAATACAAATGCTCTGTCCCATCAACAGCCAATTTTTTCAGAGTTCCTTGACTTTTTAAACTTACATTTCTTTTTTCTCCAAGAATTTCATTTCAAGAATATCAGTTTGATTTAATGGTTAAAACAGGGAAACCTGAATTGTTGTCTGGCCTTAAATTTGGAAGCTAGCTATATGACTGGTCAGTCACTCTTTCTCAGCCCCCGAGTAAGAAGACAGTGACATACCATTTTTGGAAAATGTTTCCATGAAAACTGTAAGGACTTGTCTATGTAGATGCAAAGAGATAAGACTGATATGAAGGCAACAAAAAGAACAAAATCAATTAATTACCATAAATTACTAGGCAACCACCATGTTTCTCCTGAAAATAAGACCTAACCAGAAAGTAAGACCTGGTTTGATTTTTACATGTGCTCCCAATATAAGCCCTACCCCCAAAATGAGCCCTACTTAAGACCCCACCCATTCCATTGCACCTGGTTGCACGAGGTGGAGCAAGGTACGTGGGTAAAAAATCAAGCTAGGGCAGGGCTGGGGGGAGCAGCTGCTCCATGCACCCTGCACCCACTTACCTTAGGACAGTTGTAGCCAGACCCCGACACCTATCTCGCCTCACCGGCCCACTTTTTCTGTGGCTACTCGTCGCCACTCAAGCACATCGTCTCTGGTTTCTATTTTGCCATCCAAGGCTCTTCCAAAAGGCCTGTGATGGTGAAATGGAGGCCGGGGGCTCCATGCTTGTCAATCCAGAGCTCGTTTCTCAGCTGCAGAGGCCTTTACGGATGATGAAATGGAGGCCAGGAGCAATGTGCACAAGTGGTAGCGAGCTGCCACAGAAGAAGTGGCTCAACGAGGTGAGACAGCTGTCGAGGCATGGGAGGCCTGGCTGCAGTGGTCCTAAGCTAAGCGGGTAAGCCATCCCCTGAAAATAAGACCTGTTGCCTCTTTTGGAGGCAAAAAAAATATAAGACCATGTCTTATTTTTGGGAAAACATGGTATATAGCTTACTGTAGCCTTCTTCAATCTGCAGTTTTCTAGATATGTTGGGAATTCCAATCATATGATGATGTATTGCTTATCTCATCATCAAAACTGGATAGCAGCTGTTTTTAGAGAGTATAAATAAATGATGTGGCTCTCTCTTAGTTCTCCACTGATTCTCCAAGCAACCTTCATGCATGTTTTTATGTTCCATTTCCAAAGCTCATTTTTTTTTTCTGTTATATTGCTTTAAATGTTTCTGTCCATTTGGCTAGATAGCTTCAGTTTGCTGCAGGCTAACATCATCAGTTAATTGGCCAATTTGCAGTAAAAGGACTGCCCCTTCAACTTAACCAGTGCTAATCATACATACAAATATTTGTGTATCTTGTTTTACCTGCATTAATGAAATAGCACAGTGGTTAAAACACCTTGCTTAAAATAGAGAAGCCCCAAAATATTTTTTAATTACATTTTTTTATTTTCTTGAATAACTAGTTTTCCCCCAAAGGTTTTTGTAAATAAATACAGAGGGTTACTGTTATATAATTCCAGTCAGTTTCTAGCTCCCAAGTACATATCTTTGGGTTATTTGGGAGGCGGGGAGAGGTAAATCTTTCTATCTAAGGTGACTGGGCACCTGGTAATATTCAGATATTATTTAAAAAAAGAAAACAGAGAAGGAAACTACCTATTTAAGAAATGTATACTTCAAAATTGTACTTTTTAAAAAAAAAATCACATTTCTGCTCTGATTTGAACAGCAACCAAATATGGGCTATGTGAATATTAATCTCTCTGCTATTTCATCAAGGAGGTATGGAAACATTAGAATGTATGCTTAGAAAAGGATCTTAGTTTTAAGTTGCCTATTATATCCACATACATCTGCATTTTGATCTGTGTGTATATATACAGTACAACCCATTCACACAGATACCACATTAAATGCCAATACGTGTACACGTATGATTTTCTTCTCAGGTTTACAGAAAGCATTTCTTCTGATTTTTTTTTCACAATATAAAGAAGCACAGAGCTTGATCTGATGACATCCACATTTCTATTTTTGCTTTTCGATCTACATAAACAATTTTCATTTAAAATATAAAAAAATATAGGTAAGAATATACATCCTTTTATTTGTTTATTTGTGGCTTTATTCAATTTGTGTTGCTGCCCATCTCAAATAAATGACTCTGGGAAGCTAAAAATGCTTAAAAATAAGATAACAACCGTATACAGTAGCAAAATAACATGCGTGGCAACCAAGCAAAAAACAAGCAACAACAATTAAAACAGCCATGACAGAATCCAGTCAGGTATCTGGACCCAAGACATTATGACAAAACCAGATTTGTGAGCCCTTTTGAAAGACTAGGAGGATTGGGTCAATCTAATTTCTGGGTGAATGAAGTTCCACAGTCAGCACAACAGAAAAGGCTTTCTTTCTTAGTCCTACTGGATAACATTCCCTTACTTTATAGGGAACCTGGAGCATGCTTCTCCTACCAAATCTAAGAGTATGGATAGATACAACAAAGGGAGAGATAGCACAGCAAATAACACAGTCCCAAAACATGAAGCCCATCAACTTCCTGCGTTGAGTTTTAACAGTCTGTTCCCTTCACCATGATACGTGATTGAATTCTATAATTATGCATAATGGTTCTTTTACCATAAAAAAACTGCTTAACACTGGATTTTTATTTATTTTTCTAGAAATTCCTGTGAAAAAGTAATCAGGATATTTTTATATTTCCCCCCAAAAAATTAGATCATTTAGAA